GAAAAGGAATACATATCATAAGAATTACTGAATGGATAGATCTGACCCCAACAACAATGAAAATACTATTCTCAATTTTTGACTTAAAATACATTGGCTGAAATTCACTGATATGAGATTGAACAACTATATATATATGTATGTACTTATTTTGTCTTGCTTTGTGGCATATAATGTAAATATTTGATTTTATAACTTGGAAATATTAGTCCAACATATTGGAACACACATTTGTTTTGAAAGGTTGGTAGCTGTGTCAAACTATACTGATTGTGATGGCTGTCACAAGAAAGATTGGTAGCTGTGTCAAACTATACTGATTGTGATGACTGTCACAAGAAAGGTTGGTAGCTGTGTCAAACCTATACTGATTGTGATGACTGTCACAAGAAAGGTTGGTAGTTGAGTTGGACTATACTGACTGTGATGGCAGTCACAAGATGGAGAAAAAGAATGTCACAATCACAGCATATCGTAAACTTAATAAATTATAATCACAAAATACTTCTTTCATAGACTGTTTAATCAGAATACTCATGATGAACAAAGGTGAAATGAACAGCAACTACCTAGTTCAAAGTGACACTTGTAGAGAGTCTTACACCAATGCAAACCAACCTGAAGACAAAAGATAGAAGTATCTTAAAATGTTGTCCTTTCTACCTCATCCTTCTCCACAAGTGTCATTCTGAACTAGGCAGTTGCTACCCATTTCACCTTTGTTTGTCCACAAAATACTTTAACTAAAACAAAAAATTAGGATTTTTGAGTTTAAAAGTTAATATTAAAAGCCACAAAATTGAAATTCTGAGAACATGCATAGATGTTATAGCTACCAATACAACTAAGGGTAAGGAAAAATGTGAAGCAGTTGTGAAGGGATCAAAATATTATATTCCACATTCTCAAGGAATTTAACTTCATCGTTTTAATTGGATTTTCCAATCAGGAATGCATGGTCCATTTATATTCCTTTTGTTACAACCAATGAAAGTGAACATATTGCATGGATTAAAAACCAATTCACGAGGAAATGCAACTTTACATGACGGAAAATAATCTTCCCGATAGATTTTCCTTAAGTGAGTGTAAGTTTATTTCATTATTTATATCCCTGTTATGTTGTACTCCTCCAAGAAAATTATAATAATCTTTATATATTTTAGGACTTATATATCCAAAATTCGTTTCTACAAACTGAAAACTTTTGTAATATTTGTCTTCAAAATATAAATATTTAAAAATGGTCAAAGGTCCATTTCAAAAATTTTATGAATAAAACCTTGAATTAAAATAAAACTATAAAAAAATTTAAAGTAAGAGAGGGATTCTGAATTTGTACAATCTTTCATAGCTTTTTATTTTATTTCTAAGATTTACATTACTTTTAATGCTTAAAACTGTTAACTTTTGTGTGCTGAAACAGTTTTTTTACAATTCCAGTTACCTATTTATAATTCTTAGTTAAATTTCACAGAATAAGCCATTTATTGAAATACCAAAAACAAGAAATGATGAAGGCAAGCAAATTCAACTATATTAAAAAGTTTACTTATATACAAACGATTTGTAGATACTAACAAAGAGAAATGAGAATACGTTGGAAAACAAATTTATCAAATTATGGAACGTATTTAAATACCCCATGAGAAACTTTTAATTAATGAAATTTGCTAGATTAATAAAAGAAAATAAACTACACGTGAAAACCCAGTACTAGATAAGTTTCGTATGCTTACCTCATCTGTTTTATGGAGTGATTGTTTAACCCAAGTGAAAACCTTTTCAGGAAGATAAAGTGCAGATGTTCCAGTGTCAATTATTGTTTTGTCATTATTCAACTGTGAATACAGGAAAAGAAATTAACCAACATAAACCTAATCTTAAGATTAGACATTTGTAACTTCTTTAAAGCTTATTTTTATGGTTAATGCATAATCTTTACATCTTACTCTTATTAGGTACGTTCTATGGCTTATTAATATATACTTTGATTAGAATTAAATCACATAAATTTCAAAAATTATAATTTCTTTTGTTAATTTATATATATATATACAGGTTAATTGTTACCAGCCATTTTTTTGTCATTTAAATTCTTTATTCTTAAATTTCTAAATGATTCTTCAGAGAAAGCCTAAAAGAAATATTACAAACATTAAAGCTGTGACCTATAATTGAAGTACAGACATTTAAAACTGATTTTTACTAATATTAGACAATATAGCCATCTAACTTTTAAGATATTATGATTATAAAAAACACATGTATAATGCAAGGACTTTGAATGTAATGTCCAGAGTGTCCAAAATGTCTGAAATCATAGGTAATTTGCAGCTTTTCTTAATTACAGCTAAGTGTTTGATTATGGAGCTGTTAAAGCATGAGAAGGTCAAGTTAATTTTGATATTAATCCATACTTGTTTCAAATTACAAGAACATTCTGTTAAATTCACTAAAGTGCCTATGTTCCACACTTTTCAAGCACCGTGTACAATTGGAAAAATTTATTTACAGCTAAGTTTGTACAAAGAAGTTAGTGGTGCTATATCAGTCATTATGTTCACTCAACTCTTTAAGCACGAGCTAGGTCCCTGGGACTGACCTCGTAACTATTTTGTGTTTGTTCTAACTTTCATGCTATAACTTTTAAATTAGTCAGTGTATGTTCACAAAATTTGGCATATTATCAGTAAACATTCCAAGGCTTACATATACAAAATATCAGATTTTTTTTATTAAGCCTTAAGGTTTGTTAAGCAATATTTTTCTCATGCCTTTTTCTTTTTTGCATGTTGTCTCTCCAACATGCAGAAAATTTCAAATTTCACATGCAAAATCTTTATAATGTCCAGATAGTTATCAAACATCTCTGAAGAACTTTATATTTTATCTGTTATTTTCAACAATGAATCTCTGTACAGGTTTGGTCGATTTGACCTATCTTGCAACCACCATAAAAAATTAGAGAATAAATATAGATTATGCCTTTTTCATTCTAGAATAACTACAAATTATAACACATTTAGACTAAATAGCTTAAATCTCATAACATCATACACTTATATATATTTATTATTTTTATTATATTGACCTTTCAGCCATGCTTGGCTAACAATACAGAAGTTACAATGACGCAGCACACGTGCACTCATGTTACCGTATCTAATAATATTCAACTGACCTTTAGTCTTTGCAAAGTGACCCATCTTGGCTGTGTTTTAGTAGACTAGTATTTTGTAAAATACAGTCACATTTCAAATATTATACATTATATATGTATATAGATTATTACTATTTACAAATAAGTTCTTAAACTTATTTTTCTTAAAACACAGAACAATAACTGAAGAATTAAAATAAACAATTATCTCTTCTAGTTATGACCTTTGTACTCAGTTGCTGCTTGTCGTAGGTTGCTAAGCCTTTTCAAATTTTGCACGTGGAGACAAAATAATTTTTCTTAGGTTTTACATATACAGTTGAATAACCAAAAAATCATAAATTACTATATCGATACCATAGAATTCCACTGTAATTTATCAAGCTTAGTAACTAAGCTGTATTTCAGTCTAAAAAAATATGAAATTACAAGCAGACTAAAGACTCAAACTACCTTCTTGAAGTTTTGTTTCGAAAGAAGGAGATAATGCAGCAACACTTGAGAATGGCTGAGAAAACCACTAGAAGGACATCCTATGCTTTTGATTTGTTATTCACATGTCATATACAGAGGTAAGTGTATATAAGGAAGCGCTTCCAAAAATGAAAAGAGATGAATGGGGTCACTATGTTTGATTCAGTACATGAACAATATCTCAGTGAATAGAAAAAATAGAAGGTTCTTATTTTATATTTTAATTTTTCAATATCGGTAATTGAGTTCCTTATTCATACGAAACTATAGACTTTGTATTTTGACATCAAAAACATCTAAGTTGAACCAGTACTGCATTCAATCTACCACGTGACACACAAAAATAGATGTTTAAGTGTTTTGTTTTTAATATCTACTTTTAAATTAAGAAATTGAATAATGTGTAATAATAAACCTTGGATTATAAACTACAGTTTGATACCAAACTTACTGACATAAATTCATAAAATAGTAGTTGAATATAATTTTGAATGCAAGTCAACAAATGCAATGACATGGTCTTTGAACTGTGACCCGTTTGGAAAGGGTTAACAGCTTCAATCATACTTCACAATAGACTTTATGAACCAGCACTTTCCACAATGCAACACATGTGCTAACTTGCATTTTTGTTCCCATCTTCTGCATTAAAACTAACCTCATATATGTATATACATAAGTGAACTTCTACTGTGCATCATAATGGGCATACAATATTATATACTATTAGCCACTCAAACTGAGCCATAGCTCATACTTATCTAATTACATGCATGACGGTGGTTGGTTGGTTCTTGAGCCCATTGCATGCTATTTCTTGCTTCTATTTTTGTGCATGATGATATCTCATTGGGGTATGAAACACAATTTCAACTACTACACATGACAGTGGAAACAGTTTGTCACAGGTTATGAAATGTCAGAGTTGATTTACCAGGTGTTAATCTGCATTTTTTACACAGATTTTGAGTGGAAAAATGTGCTTAAAAAATCCAGCATTTTGTATAAATGGAAAGTCAGGTATCAATATTTTTTATATGACTAATTTATTCTAAGTGAAACAGAAACATCTTCTGAAGGTTTCAATTTGGTGATAAAAAAAACAAGAGAGGCTTAATACAGGAGCTTCAAAGTACAGTAATTTGAGTATATATGAATTCAATATTAAGGCTTGGTTCTTTGAAATAGTAAACTAGGCTACTCATAAAACTTATATTTAGTGATAAGAAGTGTATATTTTATGACAAATGTTGTCTCTTTATTTTCCAGCTGAAGTTTTATGCTTTATACAAGTATTTATCAAACTAGTGAATATTATAAGATTATATTTTTTATTAAATTAATTTATCTCAATTAAAATACAAGTTTCACTTTATAATTTTATTCACAAGATTTTTGATTTGCTACACAATTATAGTGAATGAGCATCAAGATGGGAGCAACTACTAGAATTTTCTATTAGCATTATATAAATAGTTATACACAGAGCAGGCATTTTTATTTTTTCTTGGTTCACTGCCCTAAAGCAAATGAAGACTTTGAAAAATTAATGATCCCTGTTGTCTAGCTTTCAATGTACTTTACCTGTCAAGAATTTTCACAAATTAGCATAATGCATGCTATCATATAAATATATATATATATATGTACATATATATTTTCTATAAGACAAATTATTTGTATAACTTATACAACAATTATTATTTTTTAAACGTAATAATTCATATTTTATTTTCATGCATTACAAATTGCTAAATGAATGTGTAACTTTTATACCTCACTACAATGGCCTTCCCATTTCTTGGACCCAACTGTTATATTTGTCAGGATGACTTCATAAAACCATTCTTTGTGTATTCTTGTGTATAAGATATCTCCAGTATAAAGAGAATTTTCTATGCCACCAAGCACCTATTAAAGAATAAAAACTGAAAAATGATTTCTGTTTTCTGCACAATTCTAAATAAAAGTTAATTATGAAAACTAACAAATAAACAACTGTTATTATGAAAAATCATAAAACTTCTAAAACTGACAAAAACATGCAACAACAGAAGGTGTATATCAAAGTTTCTGAACTTACTTGATAACAGGTTTTATTTTATTAATGCTGTAATAACTTTTACTTAACTGACTATTCAATTATGGTGGCAGTCATCACAATCAGTATAGTTTGACACAGCTACCAACCTTTCTTGTGACAGTCATCACAATCAGTATAGTCCAACTCAACTAACAACCTTTCTTGTGACAGTCATCACAATCAGTATAATTTGACACAGCTACCGACCTTTCTGGTGGCAGTCATCACAATCAGTATAGTTTGACAC